TAAACATTTCTAACCCTGATAATTATTAATCCTGATAAACATTTCTAACCCTAATAAATATTATTAACCCTAATAAATATTATTAATTATTCTAAATATTCACCATAATGATGGGATTATTCAAATAAATATTTACCAGGCCATTTGTTTCTCAGGATTTTAGTCACAAAAACATCCACAAAAAAGAAAAAAAAGATATTTCAATCATTTTATATACTTAAACTTTTATTACAAAACTRTATTTCATTTTATTTCCAAACAGTTCATGACTCAGCATTCACACTTTTGACTTTAGCTAACCTTATATGGTAGCATTTAGCTACTGTTRAGGTTTTAGCTAGCCTATATTTATCTACCATTTTGCTCTTTTGAGGTAGTCCATGTTCTGCTTCTCTGTTTGGCTTTAAGGGCATTAAGCTTCCATTTAGCCTTTTGTTGCTTTTAGCTGTTTTTTCCTAGTTTTATTGTCTAGTTAGCCTTTTGATAATAAGTGTTTCAGCTAGCATTTTGCTTTGTTTAGCTAGTGTTCTGCTTCTTTTTGCTAGTGGTTTCTTCCTGTTAGCTACCATTTCGGTCTTTTTAGCTTTTATACTATTCTGCTTTTAGATTATGTTTTGCAACTTGTGAATAATATTTTGTTACTTTTAGCTTTTATGCCCTGTTTTTAGCATACCACACCTTTTCGTAGATTTAACTAACCTTATTTACAACTTTTAGCTCTCTGTTCTTCTAGATTTGTCTAATTAGCCTTTGGTATGTTTTTGCACTTCAGGTTTTTGTGTTTCAATATTTTGCTCCTTTTAGCTGGTTGTCTGCTTTTTTTAGCTAGTGTTTTGCTTTTAKGTTTGACTACATTTYGACTTATTTTAGCTAGGCGTCTACTTCTTTTAGCTATTGTTTTAATTTTATTGTATAGTTAGCCTTTTGATACTTTGATACACTTGGTTTTTGCAAGTGTTTCGGCTAGTGTGTTTCTCTTTTTAGCTACTGTTTTGCTTCTTAGGCTTTTCTACATTAAGCTTCCATTTAACTACTTTTAGCCTTTTGTTGCTTTTAGCTATAATTCTATCCCCTTTAGCTTTTATGCACTGTTATGTGTTTAGTTTTCTGCTAGCTTTTTTCTACTTTTAGCTAATTGTCTGCTTTGTGTTCTGCTTTTATTCTGCTTMTTTTAGCTACTATTTTAGGTTTATTGTCTAGCAAGCCTTTTTAGGCACTCCAGGGTTTTTGCAAGTGTTTCAGCTAGTATTTTCCTCCTTTTAGCTACTGTTCTGCTTCTTTTGGCAAGTGGTTTGTTCTTTTTAGCTAATGTTCTGCTTCTTTAAGCTAGTGTTTTTTCCTTTTAGCTAGTGTTCTGCTTCTTTTAGCTAGTTTTCCACTTCTTCAAGCTAGTGTTTTCTCCTTTAGCTAGTGTTTTTTAGCTAGTGTTTTTCTCCTTTACCTTGTATTCTGTTTCTTTTAGCTAGTGTTTTTCTCCTTTTAGCTGTGTTCTGATTCTTTTAGCTAGT